ACGGAAGTACATTCAAATGAATGAATCTTGGTGTAGGCTTACACAGGATAAACAACAGGCTCTAGGCTGAAAGTCCGGTGTTTGTTGGACCCTTCCATCCCCTCTATAGAATGGGAGGGATGAAACTATTTAATGGTCACACATGCAGAGCACACAGCACACACAGTGTATAGTAAACTACAGTATAAATGACCTAATGTACAGTATAATTGATGCTGCTGCAGTGCTGGGCTGCACTGAGGTGGAGAAGGTGTCTGCAGGTTATTATCTGAATAATCTTTCCAAATGTCCCTGAATTTAAGGTGAGTAACGGTAATTGACTAAAAGAGCTTTGAAACACAATGAAAGATGTTTGGAGTTTTATTTGAGTTATTAATTTAAACTTTTTGTCTAAGAGATGTTGATTTGAAACCGTTGTTACATACAGTTACGGCATTTCCTGTTTCTGCCGGAGAGAGGGGAGGCCGTCCCAAAGCTTGCTGCTGTATTTACTCCCTCGATCTGATAGGAGGGAGCCTCGTTGAGCTGCGAGTGTGGCTACAGACGGAGTTCACTCCGTCGAGGGAGTGGTTTGGGATTGGGCCGATATCTCCGGCGGTAGAGAAGACCCTCTCCAGTGTGGTTAATGTTTGCCGCCATTCTCCTGAACCGCTTCGCACTCACTGCGAGAAGAAGACACCGGCGTCTGTGTATCTAGAAATGCTCTACAGCGACACTAGCAGCTCGGCTGGCTGACGTAACCGCTCTTCATGCAAAGCGAACGGGGGGGAATGGGCAGCGAGCAGAGTGCCAGGCGGAACACGGGGGATTTGAATGGGAGTTAATGTATCGATACCCTCGGCTGAAATATCGATACTTTCTCGGGAAACAAAATATCGATATATATCGCAGGATCGATTAAATTGCACAGCCCTAATGTGTGTTACCTTGTTGCTGTGGTCAGCCATTGGTTGTCTGATGCTGGCCAGAATCAGCAGCTTCTTATTCTCCATTGTGGAAGCTGCAATAACACAATTAGACACAAACACAAATAATTACATAAGAATGAATAGATAAATAATAAGGGTTGTGTAGACTACGTGAGTTTGATATGATAGAAGACGACTGAATGAGTAATTTAATCATGCCAAATGAATCAGTGATGTGTGTGTAGTAACAGATAATAGGAGCTGTTGGGGATGCATGTGGGCTGTGCAGAATCTTATTTTATTCTAAACTTCTATTGAGATTTTTTTTTAATATAGCTTTGAATGTCTGTTGGCCTACCCTGAAACTAAATTCTCAATTCAAATGAGAAAAAAAATGAGTTTCCTTTTCTTAATTAAATTAACTTTCTACAACGAATATAACTCCTTGTATATGCGGCAAGAAGGAAGGCAAATCGTTTTTTGAGTGCAGCAAAATGTTGTTTATGAAAGTCTCAAGTGTGTTTTCTCACTGGTGGAGTTGATGAAGTGACGAAGGACGGCCAGGGAGCCCAGCCTGCTGCGCTCATTGCTGTTCTCCAACTTCTGAAGAACGAACATGACCAGCCGGTCTGGGAAGGAGTTTGCTGGAGAGACGAGTGGAGAGGAGTTAGAAAGAAAGAGATTCAAATGTAAAATCCCATCATTTTCTCATTCATACAAAATCAGGAACACAGGAATCCCCAGGTCTATTTGTTCTACTACTTTTTTGGGTGAACAGATTGACAATCTTTGTGTCAATGTGTAATCTGTAAATGTAAAACCCCTTACACAAATGGAAAAAAAACAAATGTGTAAAATATTTTGTCAATAAAAAAAAAATGTCCAAGTAAAAATAAGATAATCTACAGATATATTAAATAAATGACAGGTACAGTGGGGAAAAAAAGTATTTAGTCAGCCACCAATTGTGCAAGTTCTTCCACTTAAAAAGATGAGAGGCCTTTAATTTTCATCCTAGGTATACCTCAACTATGAGAGACAAAATGAGAAAAAAAAATTCCAGAAAATCACATTATTTGCATATTATGGTGGAAAATAAGTATTTGGTCAATAACAAAAGTTCATCTCAATACTTTGTTATATACCCTTT